TTGTATTGCAAAAAGTAAGTCAAAGTCAAAACCCTTTCGGTATTCGCTTCCTCTAAAAGGTAAAGGTGCAAACGCCGTCAGTAGCTAACCGATGTAGATGGTTTTTTCTTTCAAGGGTTACTTATAGGCCAGCAGATGTTGGGTGGCTTGATTTTCTGGTAGTTTGCTAGTAGTAGTTTAGCATCGAAACGAATAAACGAACATTGTGTATGCAATTTGTAAAAAGAAGAAAAATTTTTCATGTGCATATCCTTCATGTGTCACTTTGTCTATAAAAGCACCGGAAATTCTCGCACAAGAAAGTATATCAAACAGTAAACTGACAAATTGCAAAATGAAAATACTGGATAAACCGACCGCATGGTATAAACAAATGCAATAACTGCATGAAAAAATCACAGACGACGCGCACCGGGCGACTCCGTGCGGCCATGCGCTTTTGCAGTATGTTGTAAGATCGTTTGGAGTCCTAGTAGCTAAGATTTATGGCATACTGGTCCTCGAAGTTTGGCCGGGCGCAGTCCTTCTCTTGATGGTCAGCAAAAGAAATCATTGGCAAAGCGAACTGGGTGGGCCCGTGCGATCATGCGTTTTTGCAGTGTTTCGCGCTATAACAAGATCACTCGAAATTCCGCTAGCTAGAAACCTCTTGTACATACTGGTCCTCGAATTTCGGGAAGTTATTTATCCACGCTATACTTGGACAAGGGACATTCCCTTGAGATCCCAGGCTTCCAACTTTCTCAGTTCCCGAGTTACTAAATTCCAGCCAAAAACTTTCACGGGGCCGTACTTAGCAACCACGCATAACAGGGGGTTGAATTTGATAAATTCAAGTTGTAGAAGAATTGGGAACATCTCCAGAAAGTTTCAGTCTCCCAGCTTCCCCGGTTCCGGAGTTATCCATTTTCCCACCAAAAACTTTCAAGGAACCGAACGTGGCAACCACGCATAGGGGAGGGGGGGGGGCTGAATTTGATAAATTTCATTTGTTGATGAGTTGGAAACATTTCCACAAAGTCTCAGCCTCCCAGCATTCTTGGTTCCCGAGCTAGCGATTTTCGCGCCAGGAGCCCTCACTTGGCCGTACGCGGGAAACGCGCACATCTGGAAGCTGAATCTAAAATTTTTGAGTTCTATATGGACGGGGAACATAATCCCAGAATTTCAGCTTTTTAGCTTTTCCGTTTCCCAAGTTAGCGATTTTCCCGCCAAAACTTTGAGGTGCTCGTACGCGGGGCCTAGACGTGCTTGAGGATTGG